TTTTCCACACAACAATCACTGCCACAGGTGGAAAGGGTTTAATAGCTTGAGGCTCTTAAGTGTCCATTTCTGGTTGTGTTGAATTTATCCATTCCTCTCTGCAGGGATGCATATCTCTTGGCTGTGATCAACAGTTCCACCAGCTTCTTCGCTGGCTTTGTAGTATTTTCAGTATTGGGCTTCATGGCATCAGAGCAGGGGGTAGACATCTCCCAGGTGGCAGAGTCAGGTAAGGATCAGCCGTCGGAATTTCCTTCCTGACAGTGGTTTTCCCTTTCTTTTGCGAGGCAGATCCTTTCCAGGGTTTTGCACGAGTGAAAGTACCTAGTATTACAAGGCCTGTTTTGCACCTGGATTCAGTGGGGGTCTCCTTTTAAAAAAAGGATTTTAAGCAGAGGGCTAGGAAAAACAATTGCAGGGTCAGAGGTGCACAGTCTCATACTAGGATGATTTCCAGTGCAGTCAGATAACAGATAATCAGAGTTGGAAGGGACTTTGTAGGTCATCTAGTCCAACCCCCCGCCGAAGCAGGAGACCCTACACCATTTCTGAGAAATGGCAGTCCAATCTCTTCTTGAAAGTCCCAGGATTCCTCTAAAATTTAAGCAGTGAATTGTAAGTTTTGGTGTGATCGAAGGTAACTGAGTTAAACAGACAATAGTCTTATGAACTATAGACTATTAGTGGCGCAGTGGTTAGAAAGCAGCGCTGCAGGCTATTTCTGCTGACTGCTGGCTACCTGCAATTTGGCAGTTCAAATCTCATCAGGCTCAAGGATGACTCAGCCTTCTGAGGTCGGTAAAATGAGGACCCAGATTGTTGGGTGGGGCAATAGGCTGACTCTGTAAACGGCTTAGAGTGGGCTATAAAGCACTGTGAAGCAGTATATAAGTCCAAGTGTTATTGCTAAGTGCTAGTGCTATATTCGATAGATGCAGTTAAATTTTGATCGAATGAAAAATAAATGTCTTAAGGTCATATCTACCATCTGAAAGTTGAGCATGGACCTCAGTTCCAGAAAAACTGTGAACTCCTGGCTGACACCTTGAAAGTCCTTAATTTCTTATAACTTGTAAGACTTTTCTGCAGTCTCCATTCTCAAGCACTGTTTTTGTCTTACAGGTCCTGGCTTGGCCTTCATTGCCTATCCTAAAGCTGTAACACTGATGCCGCTCTCCCCACTCTGGGCTACCCTGTTTTTCTTCATGCTTCTTGTCTTGGGTCTGGACAGCCAGGTAACCATTCATGGAGAGCGAGGAAAAGGTAGAAAATAGAGATGGGGATTTGCCAGCTTTCCATTCATAGTCCTTCCAGCTTCCTCCTCTCTTTGTAGCACATGGATGTCCAACCTTTTGGCTTGCCTAGGCCACAGTGAAGGGGAATTGCCCTGGGCCGCATATAAAATGTGTAATGTATCTAAATCACATAATGATGGTAAAAGTTTACGATCTCAGAAGGTTGCATTACCAGCTGCCCAGGGCCACATGCAGCCCCTGAGTTGCGGGTTGGACATGCCTGTGGTAGCAGCAGTATCTGCAGAACTAATTCGATGAAGTGTTTCTCATTACGAGAGGATCAGGAAAATTCCTGCTGCTATCCACAATTATAAAAGGATAGGGACAACAAGACAGTTATAATCTTGGCCTAAGTGACGAGGAGCGAGGAAGAAAGCATTTAACAACTTGGAGGCTCTCTGTAAGATCATCTTCTTCAAGATAACTGTACTCCTTTACACCACCACATCCAATTTCCTCTTGAGGTCAGACATCTCCCCTACCAGACGTCTTCTGCATGTATATTGTTGTCATACATTTGGATGGGTTAATTAGGCTACTGCTGGGCCTGATCAAAGGGCTCTGTAAGAAGAGATCGCTTATGCTACCCATAATATTTCTGGCCAGCTGCCATTCTGTGGCCTACGAAGTACATTGCATTAGATGTAAGTGGATTTAGATCTGCATTTTGTTTTTTTTAATCTAGCAGTTCAGGGGGACATGGTGAGAATGTACAACAGTAACGCATTTAACATATCTACGAGCCACAGTGGGGCAGCGGTTAGAATGCAGCACTGCAGGCTACTTCTGCTGCCTGCTGCCTGCTTGCAATTTAGAAGTTCAAATCTCACCAGGCTCAAGGTTGGCTCAGCTTTCTGAGGTCGGTAAAATGAGCACCCAAATTGTTGGGGGCAATAGGCTGGCTCTGTAAAAAACGCTTAGAAAAGGCTGTAAAGCACTGTGAAGCGATATATAAGTCTAAGTGCTAGTGCTAGTGTGGCTCCAAAATGATGCTGTATTAGATTTGAATTCCCATAATTGCCCTCCATCATGGTCCAAAAGGAGGCCAGCAAAGGAATTATGGGAGTCAGTGTCTGACACAACTAGTGAGGACCCAGTGGTCAGATGTTAATAAGATCAGGGAAGTGGGAGGCTACCCAGAACAGGTCAGGGCTCTCAGGACATTGCCAAGGACATCAGGGGGGTCTGGGAGAACAATTAAGGTAGACCTGGCCAAAACTCCACTCTATTTTAAGGTGCTACACATGGGGAACACACAAATAGATGTTGGGCTACAGTTGCATAGTCATGATCACCAACCTGACTATTTTTTAATGTCCCTGCTGGTGAATGTCTCTGCTGGGAGACCCCAGGCCCTGGTATTTTCAGCCCAGCAGTCCTGGGTCTCCCACATCCTCTGAATTAAACAGTGTGCAGCCCAATGCATTAGTCACCCATTCTCCATTCCCTTCCCTGCTTGCTTGTTTCTTACCAGTTTGTGGGCGTAGAAGGCTTCATCACCGGTATCCTAGACCTGTTTCCACAACCAGCAGCAGCCTCACCCCGCAGGGAGATCACAGCCGCCATCTGCTGTCTTGTCTGCTGTGTCATTGATCTCTCCATGGTGACTCAGGTGAGTTGAAGGCTGGAAGAAAGACAATCCTTTTTGTAAAATGGATTCCACCTGGGGGAGCTTTTAATTGTAAGCTGCTGGAGTCTCTTTGATTTGGCAGCCTTATGACTCTCTTATGATCATGACCATCAGGCTCCGACGCGAAACCGCACTCGCAGAAATAACCATTCTAGTCATCCAGGCAATAGCAGCCCCACTTGTCTTCTTTTGCAAGATCTATTACATGTCTGACAATCACTCCAGGTCACTTTTAAAGAGCGATTCAAAAAAATTCCAAATAAATACCTTGTTTCCCTGAAAATAAGACCCGATCTTATTGTCCTTCGGGCTCCAAAATAAGCATTGTCTTATTTTGGGGGGATGTTTTACCCGCTTTCTTTAGGACACCATAGCCAGGCCTCCCATGCTCCAACACCTGTTGTACCACTGCCTAACTTCTGTGGCCACTCACTGTGTGGTGTCTTGTGCTGTTGAGCGTGTGAGCAGTGGCGTTGGTGCGATGCACCACGTGGCATACGACCGCAAGCAGACGCAGAAGTCAGGCAGTGACTGCATGGGAGGTGTCGGGGCATGAGAGGCCTAGCTGCGGCAGTATTAAAGTAAGTTGGGGCAGCTCCACTCCCCCATCCTCACTTTAACTTGATTTTTACGCATGTGCCTCACCCCACCTCGTACAACCAGACGGTGGGCAGGGCTTAACTGGGGCTTATTTGGGGGGATAGGACTTAAATTAGGCACGAGCATGAAAACCAGGCTAGGGCTTGTTTTGGGGGGTAGGACGTATTTTCGGGGAAACGCAGTACATGAAGGATTAGTATTATCTTCTCCACTCTGAAGCAGTTAAAGTGTTCGGTTTGCAAAACGAAACAACTTTTCTTTTTTCTTTTGAGAGCGGGGCCTTGGAATTTCACGTTAACGTGTGCCATCGTTTATACAGGAAAATGACAGTAAAGGTTGTCTTAATCTTAGAAAAGCAAGCCAGAGAAGCCAGATGGAGCTCTGGGGACAGGCTGTTCACGTGGGCTCCTACATTTTCTCATCTCCACCATCAGCCTCATACACCAATAAACAATATTGCTTTGAATGACTTCCTTAATCGGCTCCTCTCCTATGTTCTGTGCCTGTAGAGCGGGATGTACGTCTTTCAGCTCTTCGACAACTATTCTGCAAGTGGAATCACATTGCTTTGGCAGGCCTTTTGGGAGTGTGTGGTGGTTGCCTGGGTTTATGGTAAGTGGAAAGAAGGAGGGAGAGTGAAAGAAAAGTCAGCGTTTACTTGCCATTCCCCACCTCAAGCCCCTTTAAGAGGTCTAGGGAGCGAACCTGGACCAGGTGGGAGGAAAACAGCTTGTCTTCCACTTCCGCTTCTCTTCTTTGCAGGAGCCGACCGCTTCATGGATGACATCGCCCGGATGATTGGGTACCGGCCTCTGCCCTACATGAAGTGGTGCTGGTTATTCATTACTCCAGTGGTGTGTGTGGTAAGTCTTGAGCGGGGAGGGAGGTAGATAGGGATGGGTGCAGAATCAGAAAAAGGTAAAAGGGGTAATAAAGGAGAATATTTGACTTGGCTTTCCATCCTTCCGAAGTCCGTAAAATAAGGACCCAGATTGTTGGGTGGGGGGCAATGTGCTGACTGTAAACCGCGTAGAGAGAGCTGTAAAGCCCTGTGAAGCGGTAAATAAGTCTCAATGCTATTGCTATTACTACATCAGGGTTGACATGAGGGGTCCTTGGTGCTCTCTGAGCTTGGTTGTTTTCTTGCAGATGTTTCGTTATCCAAACTAGGTAACGTCATCAGTGCTAGTAATTTAGGCATATAGATAAAATTTAACCATTGTTTCAATGGCGAAATGTGACCATCCAAGAACCAAGCCGAGTCCAAAAACATCAGGAAATTTCTAGAAGCCTGGAACTCTGACAATTCAGCCATCAATACACACATAGACATCAACAACATCTATGCCAGGGGTCTCCAACCTTAGCGACTTTAAGACTTGTGGATTTCAACTCTCAGAATTCCTCAGCCAGCAAAACTGGCTGAGGAATTCTGGGAATTGAAGTCTACAAGTCTTAAAGTTGCCAAGGTTGGAGACCCCTGGACTATGCAAAAGAGAGAATCACCCAGCCCAAAAAGACTCCGGCACCTCTCCACCGGCAATCAGTACCCAGATCAGCTTAGATTAACTCCAAGGTTAGCATCAGACCAACAAACAAATAAACAATACCCCGATCAAGAAACTGCCAAAGAAGCTAACAGCAAACAGCCCAACCAAAGATTGTCTAAGACCATCCCCACCAACACTGATAGGAAAGCCACTAGAATATAAACTGACAGAAAACTGCACTCCTTACTGGCACTGATGATGTTACCTAGTTTGGGTAATGAAACGTCTGTAAGAAAATAAGCAAGCTCAGAGAGCACCAAGGACCCCTGAGGTAAAGGAGATCCTGCGGATTTTACTCCACTAATCGTTGCCAGTTTTAAGGGACAGTGTTCATCACCATCTCAAGGCTACTGAACCAATGCTGTCCTAAAAACATTTATGTGGTCATGTGTCCAGTGTGACCTCTCGGAATGCTGTTATCGTCCCACTGAAGTGGTACCTATTTATCTATTTGCATTCTTCCAAACTGCTAAGTTGGCAGGAGCTGAGGCAAGGATGGGAGTTCACCCCATCAAATGGCACTCGGGCCTTGAACCCAGAATCAGAAAGAGCTTTCTTAAAGTTGGGCCCATTTAGGCTGCTGTTGTTTTTTTTCCAGCAACTTTTTCCCCCCAGCCGGTTTTTTAAAAAATGAGCTTGATCAAGTATGAAGGTTATGCAATACCTCGATCCTAGCCAGTGGCAACTTGACATTTTACTGAGCACATTGCATTCAGAGGGAAATGCTTTCCCTTTCCTTTCCCTCCCATTCAAAGGTTACTTGTACAATCATACAAAATAAGGATACTGGATGTCTTTGAGTTTGTTTGTTTTTTTAAAAGAGTGTTTTATTTCTGGACCTTCGGATTGCCTCCTAGTTCAACAAATTGCTGGCACGAGGGCTTGGTGTTTTGCCAGGGCTCCTTCCTCTCCCCTTTGACTCTCCAAATTCTATTTGGCTGGTCTGGCAGCAAAGATGAGGCACAAATGTCCCCTGATATGGAGGAGGGGATGCAAAAAGAGTGAAATGTTTCCTTCCATGGTAGAGCTCCCATCCAAATTCAGATGTACGTCTCTGCATCCATGCACATAAATGATTTAAAACAGGGGTGTCCAAACTTTTTGCAAGGAGGGCCCGATTTGGTGAGGTGAAAATGTGTGTGGGCCGACATTCACAGGAACCATTGTGCGGTGAAGGGAAAAACGCCGGCCTGCGAGGATGAGTGACAGATTGAGCCGGCGGGGAGACGAGACTGCGGGCCACTCGAAATTTGAAAAACGGGCCGCAATTGGCCCCTGGGCCAGATTTTTGGACATGCCTGATTTAAAACAACAAAATAGTTCCGAGATAACTAAATGCAATCGTCTTTGACCCTGAAGCCTTTTATGAAAACAATATAATTCTTTCAAGTCTGCCATTGTTTTAATACGCACGTGGCAGCTAGTGCTTATGTCAGCCATCTGTTAGAGCAGTGATCCCCAACCTTTTTGACGCCGCGGCCCGGTACCGGCATCAGCTGGGCGCCGCGGCCCAGTACCGGCATCAGCTGGGCGCCACCATCTTTTTTTGATGAAAATGTGCTTCCGGTGAGCTTTCTACCCAGAAAAGGTCACCGGAAGCACTTTTTCATGAAAAAAAGATGGCGGCGCCCAGCAAGCCAGCGGCCCAGTAGGAGTTGTTCCGCGGACCGGTACTGGTCCGCGGACCGGTGGTTGGGGACCCCTGTGTTAGAGGATGAAACCCTGATGATTTTGGAAAATTTGGTTTCCTTCTGCACTAGATTTGAACTGATCATGCCCAGTGCTGTTTCTAGACTGGTAGCTCCTGGCACAACTGTGCTGCTCTTACTCACTTATCTGATTTAGATAACTGCCACTCACCAAGCAACCAGTACAGCTATCAGATTAAAAAGAAAAGAAAGAAATGCATCACTCAAAAGAAGAACCAATAGAAGAATATGCAGTGCTGGGATCAATCATTCACATAACATAGACTAACATGCCCTAGCAGCTCATGTAGCAACGTAGCCAGGGAACAGCCAGATCTCTAGGATTTTTTTAAAAGAGAGATGAGGGTATCTGAACTGGGAAAAGATGCTCCTGCTACAATTTGTACATAGAATTCCAGTTGGCATATGTACTTCTGGTTTTTTGTTTTTGTTTTTTGCCTTTTCGTAGATGTACAGATCGCATTGTGTTCTAATTGTACTCAGAGCTATGATACACCTGTGTGAGCAGAAAAGGGGCAATTCCCCCAAACTCACCATTGTTCAAAAGATCCTTTTACTTGCCTTTTTAAAACAACTCTGTACTGATTTCAGAGTCAGGATCAATATAAGAGGTCTTTTTGATATATCATAGCAAGCCACCTTTGGATAGCAAATCCCCCCTTTCCTTTTTTTTTTTTTTTTGGTGGGGGAGGGAGAGACCCTGGAAGGGGAGGTGGATATATTTATTTATACATTTATTTGATCTGAAGGTTTGAGAATCTTTGAGAAGTCCCACATGCCTTTTTTTTTTAATTCAGTGAGCTCAGTGTTTTCCTGCCCCCTCTTAGCAATGGTTTTTAAAGGGTCTTGAAAGCTGAGGTAGAAAAAATGGAGAGTCACACACTTCAGAGGTGCGTGCCCTGCAGTCTGTGGTGGCTGGAGAATCTGAAAGTTAAGGACACGGGTAAATTTGCAAAGAGGATTAATTCAAAGTGACCCCTACTTCTGTTTTTGCATTAAGTCAACCACAGAGGCATGTTAAGATCTATTTTTTTTAAAAAGAGAACCCTGTTATTGCATGCAGCTAATGAGGTGGAGATTGTTCCCAAATTTTTCTTTGTCAACTGTCCACAGCCTGATGCCCTTCAGATATGCCTGATTATCCACTATACTGGCTAGCAAGAGTGAGAGAGCTTGAGTAGAGAAGAGTTGCTGTAAAAGCTTGTTTTGCATTATAGCAAACCAACAAAGAAAAAAAAACCCCAAACCATCCTATTTTTGTCTATAACCTTCCCCTGCCTGTTTTAAAATAACATGGATATCTGTGTCATATCCAGTAGCAATTATATTTTTGTGCATTCTGGTGGGAATTGACCTCCTTTGGAATTCCCAGAGCAGTGTGTTCATTGAAACATTTGTTGCCTTTGAATGGTGGGATGCCCTGAATTTTGCAGTACTCATAGATCTTGCTTACAAAACGGACCAAAAGGCTTTGAGAAATGCACATCTTGGGATAAAATATATTTAGAAGCCCATTATGCTCAAGGGTGCACAGTATAATTTTGGAGAATGTTGCATATAAAAACAGGCTCTTGAACACAATTCTCTATAGAAAAGTTTGAATGCATTTTTACATGTGCAGAAGAAGGAAAGACATAAGAACGACAGACTGAATGAATGAATGAATGACAAAATGGCATGAGGTTATTCCTACATATTGACTGGTCAATTTTCCCATTGAATATATTTGTCACAGATTCTACAGTGACACATTCTCCATTCTTCTCTAATGTTGTTTTTTAACCTTAAGAATGTATTATGGAATCTACTCTGGAGATGGGCAATCTAGGGGCCATTCAGCCCCCGCTCCAAACAATTGTTTGAGCCCCAGAACCTCTTCTATTGCTAAACATTGGCAGCATGCTTTCCGGAGACATTTTGAAATTGGAATCAGTCCAGAAAATATAAAGTAAAAGCTAAAAATAGGTTGTGTTTAGCAGGCTTAGCAAGGTCATCTCCTCTTCCTCTGTCCATGTATCCAACATTGCTCCTTGCATTCGCTTCAAAAGTTGTGTCACAACTCATCGTATTATGGTGGTGCAAATGTATAATATTCCTCTTTTTGTGAACCTATTTAAAAATGTTCTGTTTCAATAAACACAGTAATTGCCTGTAATTTCCTGGAAGAAGAAAAAAAAAGATTTCTGTTTCTCTACTCCCTCAACCTCAAAAAAGATAAGTCAGCTTGAACTGCCAATTACTTCAAACAGTATTACAACTGAATGCATGGAGAAGAAAATATGCATTCTAAGTTATGGTATTCTGTTGTGCTATTGATGATGGTATTCTATTGTGCTATTGATGAAGATAGGCACAATGTCTGCAACACAGAGGCAATATATTCAACCAAATCTTTATTACCGTAGACTAGCATAGATGCAACACACTAAACAGCATATTATCAAAGAGTAAGAAATATTTTAAGCCAAAAAAAAAAAAGTGACTTCAAAGGACCTAGCATTTTTAGATGCCATTCCTAGGAGCAGGGGGAAAAAAACACTTTGCATCTAATATTTATTGAGGTCAGAGCTACTTGGATGGCAGTTCAGATGTCAGAACTTCTTTCCTTCCCTGACTGGAATCATTTTTTTCAACTTTTTACAAGATTTCTGCATATATAAAAGGCAATTTGTCTAAAAGCGCAGAATGAGACGAAGCGTAAAAGTGGGACCAAACGTTGAAAGTTGATGGAGGGTTCAGTTTGCAAACAGATAACTCTTTCATTTTAAAACTGCAAAACTCTTAAGGAAGACAGTTTGAAATCACTTTGATCTTCACTTTGGTCTCTCCTTTCCCTCCCTGTCTCCCCCTCCCCATCTTTTTCTCTCTTCCTAATCAGGGCATCTTCCTGTTCCATGTGGTGAACTATCAGCCGCTGACTTACAATAAGACCTATGTCTACCCCTGGTGGGGGGAGGCTATTGGCTGGATGCTGGCCCTTGCCTCTATGCTTTGCATCCCCTGCACTGTCGCTTACAAACTTCTGCGAAGCAAGGGCACCTTCCAACAGGTGAGTGTCAGTAGCTCCTCTCTACCTGAAGCCCAGGGAACAATCTTGCTTGTTAGGCGTGTCTGTTTGGGACACCTGGAATTCTGCACGGTGTGAGAACATACTATTGTGAGGCTAGGCTAGGGTGATGGTTTGGCTTTTCCTTGTTCAAATGTAAGCTTATATTTCCTTCTTGTGGCATGATGGGTCAGTGACATTGGAGATATTTTCCAGAGATGTAGCGATGCTAGTCCTTGGAAAGGCTTGTCTAAAACTTTGACAATGTGCCTATGAATAAGACCTGCCATCTCATTTAGCAGTTAAGGGTGTTTGCCTGTGTATAATCTGTTGGTTTACTAAGTATAGCCACACACAAAAATTCTACGGTGGTTAGCCAGACAAAGAGAGGATCTTCTAGAGTGTGTAGAATGAAATTACAATTGTGCAAAGGCAAAAGTAAAGGGCAAGGGGCAAGAAGAAGACACACCATTGGTACATCAGGAATTCTATTCAGAACTTTCAGAGTAATCCGGCTTTATCCTGCCTGTTAAACTTTTTTGTTTATTTCTCATTTTGCACTTAATGGTGGCTTTTTAACCGTTGTAAAAGGGGCCTTTGAGTTTCAGGGACAATAATTACTCGATCGTTTGATTTGTGCCTTTAAGGAATATCAGCCCGTTCTTCGAAAGGCAACAGCATACCAATAAAAATACAAAGAATTTTTGACCAACGTTTGGTTGACTGACGTTGGATGATTTAAATATGTCGCGGTGTGACTTCAATTAAAGGCCTTCATTCCAAGAGAGAGAGAGAGAAAGGGCTTTATACTTTAAACGTCCTATTTTTATGGTATAATATGAGTGTTGGGTAGAAAAACTGTCTTTCCAGTCCCAACGGGGCTAATTCGAGCCAGAGGTGACTATTTCGGGTGAATAAATAAACGTGAACAAATGGAGGTGCTGCCTTGAGTTGATCATTGACGCCACTGCCTCATTCATTTCTCCCCCAGCGCTGGCAATTGCTGACCACCCCTGTCTGGGGCCGCCACCACCTGGAATACATGACACCCGAAGCAGAGGCAAAGTTGCTGCCACCACCAGACAGTCTTCCTGCTGCCCCTCCAGAGAAGGCTACGCTTTTTGAGACTGTGATTTGATGTCTCTTGCCCTCTCCCCAGTAGGAATAACAGGAGACCCTTCCCCCCTCACCCACCCAAGGTCAAGTGGAGAGGGAAGAGGCCAGGGGAGAATCAGCGTAATGTGGGGGGGGGGGGGGGAGAAGGCAGCGGGGGAAAGTCCCTTGCAAATTAGAAGAAGATTCCACTTTTTGGTTGCATTGAGCTCCCTCCAACTCCTCCGGCTCTCGCCCCTTCTCAGTGAGGCTCTTGTGATTAACGAAAAGCTATGAATCAGATTGGGGAAACCTTGACCGGTAGAAGTGCTGATGCCAGCGATGAAAAGAGCCCGCTGACAGTCCCAAAATCGTTTTGAGGTTTCACTTCGTCCTATTCTTCCAGTGTTCGCTTTCAAAACCTCAGGTGAGGGCCTTTGTTCCTTATCGTAGAATCATAGGCTGGGAAGGGGCCATTGAGATCTTCTTCCGGGGCAGGAATCTTTATGCTCTCCCAGACAAACGGCTGCCCGGTCTTCTGCTTGAAAAACCTCCAGTATTGGAGCCTCCGTAACGCCAGCGTTTCTTAGTGCTTCCCACTATCACAAAAGCTTCAGTGGTTCCATTTCCCAATTGACCCAGTGCTGCTTCTAGTTTCCTGGACTCCGTCTTTGCATGGGGGGTGGGTGGGGGGAGCTTCAGCCAGCTATAGAGCCATGTAACCCTAGCTGATTAACAGGCTAATCCTGCTCATTGTGTTGCAGTTCTTTCCCTCCTTACCCCTCCCTCCAAAAGAAACAGAAAAAGATCAAATGCTTTCCATTAATCCAGTGGCCCCCAACCTTTTTTGTGCCACGGCCCGGTACCGGCATCACAAAATGATCCGCGGCCCGGTACCGGCATCAGCACGCGTGACAAGGCAAGGCGAGCCGAGTGACCGGCCATCCAGCTGTCCCCCGCTTCTCCCCGCCACCTTCAATTCCTCCTTTGTACCTTTTTTGTGCTTTTTTTATCTCCTCCGCCATCGGGACGGCTCTTCGTTCGAAGCCGCCCCCCCCCTTCGATGAAACTAAGGCGCGAGGATTCCTTCAGGACCCAAACGCCGCTTTCCAACCGGAAAAGCTCACCCGGAAGCACTTTCTGTCGAAACAAGATGGCGGCGTCCAGCAAACCGGTGGCCTGGTAGAAAATGATCCATGGACCGGTACCGGTCCGGGGCCCGGTGGTTGGGGGCCCCTGCATTAATCTCTAGCCTCTTTTCCTCATGGATTATTTCCCTGTCTCTCACTCCGATGGTCCAGATTCAGTTATACGGAATGTACCATTATTTTCATACCGCTTTCTGGGCGTGGAAGAGGGGGGAACCCTTCTGCCACTTAGATCTCTCTGTCCGTCTCTGCTGCCTTCACGTTTTCCCCTCTGCCATTTGGGAGTGTGGTCTTCTTGATCAAGGGGGCATCGGGCTTCCCAACGCCACTTATAACATCTGAAATCTTCCTCCATCCAAAAAGGAGAAAGAAATCTATCTGCATGGATAATATCTGGGCTAACCTAAGGAGACGGGGATCTGAAAAGTGTCTTAAATAATTTGATCGCTGCTTACATCTCTCCATTTATAAGCATAAGAGGAATCTTAAAGGAGAAACAGTTGGCATGTAAATTTCCTTGCTAAAGGAGGGATCTATTTATGTTTGAATTTCTATAGCGTTATCATCCACCAGGCAGGCAGAAATTCAACAGGGCAATTCTACCTTAAAGCTTGTTTATGAGAAATGCCTGATATAAGGTTGTGCTACAAGAAATATACCATAATTACAAACTGGAATCTTGTGCCGACTTAATGTGAATGCACGATGACCATGAAAATCCTTCTTATGGCAACTAATTAGAATCCTAATTGCTCATATTGTGAAAAATTATCCTTTTTGAATTTCTGCCTCTAACAAAGATATTAAACACTTTAAGAAAAAGAAAAATACAGCAAGCGAGGAAACCTGCTTGGCTAGCCGTCTTTCTCTTGCACGTTATCGATACAGCCATACTCCAATGCATGCTGCATTACTCCAATGTATGTATTTGTAACATATGAATGTTTGTGCCAAATTGGGCTGAGCTCTCATTTTCCTGCCTCATATCAAACTGTAAACCACCCCTACAATCCTCCTAAGCCTCATTCTCAGCTCCCTATTTCTGTTTTCATTTTTTTTTTTTTGGCAATTACATATGCAAAGTGATACTGATCTGACTTCCAACGATAAATACAAGATATGTTCTCTACTGCGCTCATGGCATCTTTGTTAAACTGGCACTCGCCCACCTACCCTTTCTTGCCTGTACTGTCTTATTCAACCAGATGAGCCAACAACCCTCTTTTGATCTGCATCATTTCTCATGCGCATGTTTCTCCCAGTGTCCTCCCTTTTCTTTATGATACAAATTATTACAGGTAGAGTTTAAAAAGGAAGTTTTTAATGTGCTCCGTCCTGCATCCCATTTTTCATCATTCCCTTTTGACGGAAAAAGAAAAAAGTCCCTACAGACAATTACTGAAGGCAAGAAAGAAAATCTTCAACAAGCTATGTTTTTGTTTTTTTGTTTTTTGAAAGCTGGGTCTGTCCATGAGGCACACAAACCAGGACCTGTCATCTTTTTGGAGATAAGAGGTCAGCCTGTGAAACTGCGCCACATGCACGGTGATGAGTCACGGTGGCACCGTGGTTAGAATGCAGTACTGCAGGCTACTTCTGCTGACTGCTGGCTGCCTGCAATTTGGCAGTTCGAATCTCACCAGGCTCAAGGTTGACTCGGCCTTCCATCCTTCTGAGGTGGGTAAAATGAGGACCCAGATTGTTAGGGGCAAGTAGGCCGACTCCGTAAAACCGCTTAGAGTTAGGGTTGTAAAGCACTATAAAAGCGGTATATAAGTCTAAGTGCTAAGTGCGATTGCTACATCTAAGAATGTGGAGCAGAAGACTCTTTATCAAGGAGTTAGGAGAAATGCCTTCTCATCCTTGTCACTTGCCTCCCCTCACTCACAAGGTCTAGCACCGCAGAACAAGAAAGGCAGACTTCACTGATTCTGAAGTAATGGGTGACTCACCCTGCCTGCATCTAGACAGACTGTCAAGGATCGAATTTTACTGTGAGCAGGGGAAAGTAAGTGACCTACTTAGAAATCAGCTTCTGTGCCTGCTTAGAAAGTGAGGAAGAGAATACTTGGGGCCAACATCTAGATACTTCTACTGAATTGTTCCTCTAGTGAATTTGGGGGTGACATCAATAGTTCTTCCTTATTTTTTTCCCCTACAAGGGCCCTTTGATGAACGTAGTGTCAGCTACTCCAAACCACACAGGGAGCTCCTGTTTAGCTGAGGCTGGAACACGAATAGATCTGATTGGGCAAATCCAACCCGCGGAGGCAGAAATATGAAATTGTGCAGCTAAGCTCAACAGCTCTGTTACATAAATATTACGACTTACGTTTTTTTGTTCATTAGGGTTATATCCCACCTTTTCCCAAGATATATAGGATTTAACACAGTGGTGGGATTCAAAAATGTTTACTATCGGTTCTGTGGGCGTGGCTTGATGGGCATGGCTTGCTGGACACGGCAGGGGAAAGATACTACAAAATTTCTATTCCCACCCCATTCCAGGGGAAGGATACTGTAAAATCCCCATTCCCTCCCCACCCCGCTAACCTGCTTTCCAGCTCTGTTCTCCTGTGCAGGGCAACCAAAGAAGACCCAGCTGATCAGCTGGGACTCAGGAGGCAGAAAACAGATGGGGGCGGGGCCAGTCAGAGGTGGGATTTGCCGGTTCTCCAAACTACTCCAAATTTCTGCTACCGGTTTCTCCAGAACTGGTCAGAACCTGCTGAATACCACCTCTGGTTTAACATATCATGCCCTGTTTTAATACTCCCAGCAAGACTTACGAGATAGGTCGAGCAAAGGCAGTGATTAGTCCCAAATTTCCAAGTGAACTGGGGTTAGTCAAGAGATAGCGAATATCAACTTTGAATCTCCATCCTATTTCTCTGCACCCTTTTGTTTTCACTTGCTTCACTTAGTCTCTTCTTCCCCATATATACTCTTTATTTTATTTTCTGTCCAATCCTGTTAAATCACCCCACGGGAACTGTTTTCATCCGGGTAACAACAACCACCATAGGCTTCAGTGTTTTGGAATTCCAAAGGACTGAGCTCTGGATACAGATTCTGAATCTGGCATCTCGGTCTTCTTCCCAGAGCTCTCTACTCTACGAATAGGTAAGGGGAATGGCCACGCCCTGCCTGTTGGCCTGGAAATCCCACTTGGGCAGAACACAAGTCATCGGTCTACTCTATGTAAAGGGCAGCCAGGCTAATTCCCAAGTCCCTCTTGGTGTGTTTGTGTGAGTGTGTTCATACATACAACATTATGGGTTGGTGGCACGCCTTGACTATTGAGAGCGTGTTTACAGATGGTCCTTGACATTACGACCACAATTGAGCTGTAAATTTCTGTTGCTGAGATGTTTTATTGAGTGAATTTTGCCCCATGTTACAACCTTTCTTGCCACACTTGTTAAGTGAATCACTGCAGTTGTTAAGTTAGTAACACGGTTGTTAAGTGAACCTGGCTTCCCCCGTTGACTTTGCTTGTCAGAAGGTCATAAAAGCTGATTGCACAACCCCATTATCAATATGAGCCGGTTGCTAACTGTCTGAATTTTGATCCCATGACCATGGGGATGCTACAATGGTCCTAAGTGTGAAAAACGGTCATAAATCACTTTTTTCAGTGCTGTTGTAACTTCGAACAGACACTAAATGAAGTGTTGTAAGTCGAGGACTACCTATAGATAAGGAGAATGGCCCATTCACTGCCTGTTGGCCTGGAAATCCCACTTTGGCCGAACGCTAGTCATCGCTCTATGTTGTAATGGGCAGCCAGGCTAATTCCCAAGTCCCTTTTGGTGTGTTTGTGTGAGTGTGTTCGTACACACAACATTATACGCTAATGGCACACCTTGAATATTGAGAGCATGTGTGATTCATTTGTCTGATTCATCTGCTGCTTCAACCTGAGCAGCTTGTAGGCAGTTGCAAATACAAAAAAAATAGCACCACTGCAGCATTGTAAAAATAGGCAACAATGATAAAATCCAAAGTAGCTTTTATTCTGGTGGTTTCACCTCTCAAAAAGCCTGCTAGAAAGAACTACTACGT